CATTTAAAAGGAAAAAGGTATATGAAGTTTGTCTTTTTGATGATCTATCTTTCGATTGCTTGGTTTCTAACTGCGCGACTTCTTAGGCTATAATACCAATATCGCAAATGGCTTTGCCTTGCCTCTAACATTATATACTTAGTGAAAAGTTGATCAAAATGACTAGGAGAAACTGGAAAAAAAACTGCTCAATTACGGATTAAAAGAAAGGTGGCAGAAAGCTTAGTATGCTTAGGATGAGCAAGTGGGAATGGAAATGCTGTACTCCCAGTGGGGCCCTAAATGGTGAGAGTCAAAAACACGTTAACCAACGAGATAATTTTGACTGCGGAACAGTGCTTGAACAGGCAAAACTCTCGTGATCTTCTCAGAATGGGTAGGTAATTTCCACAAATTTGCCACATAGGAAGGACCATGCTTATGATAGCCCTCAGCATGGTCTAGCTAGTCATGAACGTGGTCGGAGGTCAATTTGAGGATAGGTGCAAAACTTGTATCTCTTTATCGCTATTGCACTGAGCGAGCATAGTAGCGATAAAGCGGTGGCATGCAGGTTTTGCATCTATCCTCAAACACTCATATGCGTTAACAACAATATGATAGATGATATGATTTAATATTTTTCTTAAATTCAGAATGATACTGACCAAGTTGAAGGCTGCAAACCAAAACTGCCGAAACCTTCAAAAAATTCCAGTGTATTTTGCAATCTATTCATCGCAATATTTCGCAATAGTCACTTCGTAGTCTTTTCGCATTTTATAGAATAGTCATTCATGCCGTCATTCCTCAGTCATGTCACAGAAAGCATCCGTTGGGAATCATGAGAGCTTCTTCTTTGCAGAAGTCAATGAAGCTCTTCATAAATCAGAACTTCCACTTTTTCTTTGGAACTCAAAAGTAAGTGTCTGTGAATTGCGATTCTGTTTTAGGTTGACAGTAGGACACAAGCCTACACAAATCAGTAAAAAACAAATTGATTTTTACACCAAGTGCACGTGCTGGCGGCGGCACGTTTCTGCTCGATCTCTCGTAAGGGTTCAAGTCATAGAAGATAGTAGGCTAACACATCGATGACACTATGGCCCATTAGCGGGATGTATAGTTCTAGACCACAGTGACTACTGATGAGTACACGTCACAAAAGAATTTTTTCTCAA